TAAACTTAAAACGACTCTGAGCGAAGATGGTCGTCGGCCTATAATAGGTATATATTATATACTAAGCATATTTTCAGATATATTTAGTATATAGTATAATATGCAATGTGTCCGCTGCGAGAAGTGACCGACCGGCGTCATAATATGATAGTATACTTTGAGTTATTACAAAAAATCTATATAGAGGGGGGGGGAATTCAACTTTATTTTAACAAAATCAAACCTACTAAAAATTTGCTAATGTATCTTCAAAACTTTAAATAATGTTTTCGTATTTTTTTTAAATATTTTAAAGCTCATTTATTGTATGAATCAACTAAGGTAATATAAGTTAAGTTTATAGTTAAAAGTCGCTTTTATTTGTTTTTAAACTTGTAAAAGTTGCAAGTTTACTAGAAAATAAAAATAACTAACCTTAGTTAAAAATCAGTTACTTTTTTTCTTATAAATAATTAATAGGTAATTATCTATTTATCTATATCTTTTGTTTAAAGCTAACAAATAATGAAATAACATAGGTACTTTTGTTTTCCTTTGGCCATGGCATCACTACAAGGGGACCGAACTGATTACACATTACAAAATAACCTAGTACTTAATTTAATATCAACTAGCATGCATAATCAAACCAGAAATATACAATTCATTTTGATTAAAATAAACAAATTAAAAATAATTTGTCAACAATTAATATTTTCTATCATAGCGTGTAACACCAAATAATGCAGTATTTATTACAAGTACAGTTTTTATTATTATCTTATTATTTTTAACAGTGGAGTAATTTGGTCATGTTTAAAACATTTACCCCCCCCCCAATCCCACCAAAAAAAAAAATTTGTTTTATATCATATAAAACCTCAGTCCAACCATTGTAATCTGTATAATGTATAATGTATAATGTAAGTAGAGTACATGTATAAATGCATGCATACATTAAAATAAATAATTAGAGAAAATGTGTTCAAAGTGGTCATCCTAAGATTCAATACAGTGTCACTCTTTAGGATTTTTTTTATGATTACTTCAAAATTGTTGACTATAAATATGTCAAAAATCATATTTTGTAATCAGAAACAATTTTAAGCTCATAAATAAAAAGTTATTTTTGATTTTTTAAAAAGTTAGTAAATGTCCACGTTGATCGCCGATTTAAAATTTCTATTATTATTACTCTGTACTCATTGTTTCACAATATTTTTATCATATATAACTTATTTGTTCTTAGATGAATAAGTTATTTAATTTTAATCTTTAAGTTTCCTTTTAATTTTTTTTAAATTAATCGGACTTAAACTTTTCCCAGCAACAAAATAACTTTATAAAATATACATAACTTAATAAGCTTTTGAAAATAAATAAATAAATCATATTAAACACCTTATCTTTTATAGTAACATAAGCAATTGTGACCAATAGATTAATTTTCACCATAGTTATCACTTATCACTTTGTCCTTTTCAGTGTTTGATTTACTATTTTAAAAAATAGCAATCTTATTAACTAATTAAACTTAAATCAATTCTATAATGCATATATACTTATGTAGATAATTTATGTAAATTAATTATTATATTTATAAAATATTATTATTTATTCAGTACACGTACCATACATAAATTATGTAAGAACATAAACAGCATCAAAAAATGATATATTAGTTTTAAACTTAAACTTATTTTACTTTTACTTAATTTTATGATTTGCGGTCTATCAGTTCACAGTTGATAAGTATGAAAACAATGAATCAATCCACGTGATATAAGTACATAACCAGCTGTTTATTTCTTTACGACATAATCATAAGACTTGACCACTCTACCAGCAATGGCCACTTTGTACTCCTTTCCCCTACATACTATTTAATATAGTATTAAATGTACTTTTTGAAGTAGATTCATGGAATAGTAATTGTAGTAGACTTAAAATACTCAAAATTTCAATCTCCAAAATATTATAACCTTGGACCGACCGACAAATTCGGATTGTATACCGTTGTGCTTCACTTGTTGAAAAATATTACAGTATTACCTATAGGTTTCCGAAAAAAATTCCCAAAAATTGAGCTAAACAGCATTATTTCAAAATATTTGTGCAAATTAAATTTGCCATAGTGATTAGTGTTTATTACGAAGTAATATTATCTTAGTTACAGCTACCATAGGGGATTTGGGTTTTTATTTGTTGTTTCTATAAAATATACTATATTAGTACCAATAAATAATAAGTACATAAATTTGGTTCACCAGTTAAAAAAAAGTCATGGATGGGATAATATGACACCCCTAAATTACGCCACTGATTTGACATAATAAAAAATAGAATACCTTAACAATTTTGTTTTCCTAAATTTTACCTCTGCGAGTACATGGCTCAAAGCTCATTATCCAGTATAACTGTCCAATGACAGTAATTAGGTACAACCACAAAAGTCGTGGTGTCACGTTTAGCAGAGAATTACTCGGAAATTATAGAAGATAAAAAACAACATTTTTAAGGTGTTCTAGGTATTTTACTGTAGAATAATAAAATAAAAATAAAAATAGTAGTAAATACGGAGATATTTGGAGTTATACGCGCAATTTGCTTTCAAATATACTAATTTTTGACAACTATTTTCACTTTTTAATTAAATAAAAATAATTTGTACATTTCCGTTTCCATTGTGTATGATGGTTGATAGTTTGAAGATTAAAAAGAATTACGATAAAAAGCTTTGAAGATACATCAGCAAATGTATGATAAGTTCGATTTTATTTAAAAAATAATTGAATTGCCCATATGTAAAAACATACCGTTAATTAACATAAGTTTGACCCACCCCCTTTAAAGAGCTTTTTTTCATAACTTAAAGTATACTATCATAATATATGACACCGGCTAGTCACTTCCCACGGGACGCATTGTATATTATATATATTTAATATTTATATTGAATGAAAGTTATTTATTTTACTATTAGTACTTAAAATCTAAATAGTTAATATATAATAAAGATTGAATCAAGTTTTTCTGAAAACATGGAATTTGAAAATATCATTAAGCCCTAAATTTGTTATAGCCATTTTTTTATCGAAGAACACTCATTATTTCAAAAAGTATTAATGTTTAAGAAAATATTTTTTTACATAGTTTCAAGTTGTTAAAAAACAATATTTTTATATATTTTTTATCCTTTTAATTTTTTAAGTTTTTTACTTTTTTGAATGACAACATCTAATTTTAATTTGATATTCAAAAACAGAATATTTTTCTGAGTATTTCGATACATAAAAATTGAATTTAGGGCAATTAGTTTATGAGTTATAAGTATTTAAAGTTTAGATGAGCGGAGTAGAGTGGTACGGGGTTACCCCGCGAAATGTTTGTCCTCTACTCCGCTCATCTAAACTTTAAATACTTATAACTCATAAACTACTTGCCCTAAATTCAATTTTTATGTATTAAAATAATCAGAAAAATATTCTGTTTTTGAATATCAAATTAAAATTAGATGTTGTCATTCAAAAAAGTAAAAAACTTAAAAAATTAAAAGGATAAAAAATATTTAAAAATATAATTTTTTAATAAAAATATTGTTTTTTAACAACTTGAAACTATGTAAAAAAATATTTTCTTAAACATTAATACTTTTTGAAATAATGAGTGTTCTTCGATAAAAAAATCACCCTGTATACGAATACAAAATAGTATTATAATTGGAAGTTTGCTGAGTTTTAAAAATATACGATTGTTGTAATCGCAGTTGCATAGGTAGGTTACATCGTACAAATTCATGTTTAATGCGTTACCTATATCATGATTACATTTTAAAGACAAATAAATATAAACAAGTATTTTATAAAAGTTCAATAAGCAATTGCAATAAATATATAACATTTGATAGTAGGTATAGAAATAATCAAATATAAATAAATTCGAGTTTCAATAGACTTGGAGTAAGGCTGCGCGTACATTGGAGAGCGTTGAGCGTCGAGCGTCGAGCGTCGCGTCGCCCAAAAATTTTAAGCCCATGTAATTTAAATCAGAGTGCGTACATTGACTACGAGCGTCGAGCGTCGTCTTCGAGCGTCAGCGGCGCGGCGCGTCACAAATCAAACATGTTCGAATTTTGACGCTCGACGCTGATATATTTGGCGTGCGCGATCAGTAGACTGATCTAGTAGTAGTGTAGTAGATAGGTTTCTAGATTTATATAACTTAAATATAGGTAAATTGTATAGGTATACGTAGCTGGTAGTTTAGGTAGATACCATGCAAACATATTATTAGGTTATAGTTCCTACAATAATTATTCCAGGAAGTATAGTATGATAAGATCGATCTACTAATGATCTTGTTTACTTGCATGCTCTTGTAGTTCGTATCGTCATGACGGGTTCAGTTGGTTTCGAATATTTTAAAGTAGGTAAAACATTATATTTCGTTCCCAAAAATATGACGAAAAGAAGTTCTTTTCAAGACGGCACGAGGGAAATTTTAATTTCCGAAGTTCAAACTCGACCATGCTTATGGAATGATGAACATCCCCAATATAAAGATAGCGAGAAAAATAAAAAAATATGGGAAGAAATTGGAAAAGTAATTGAAATGACAGGTATATCAATATATTAAGTATTAATAATGTAATATAGGTACATATATAATCAGGGCCGGACTACGATCGACGTGTGTGACGGCACAGTATAGATAATATAGGAATACTATAATATGATACAATATATTTTACAATTGTTAATTTGTATTTGTATTTGCACTGTTATTTTAAATAGTTGTTTTATTATATTAAAAGTAATATAGTTTTGATATCAGAAAAATGATTTTGCTTCGGAGATTTCGAAATTTGTGAATATATAGCATTACCATATTGATTATTTTATTATTATTATTTAAATATTATTAAATTATAAACACATGTTAATTAGTTATAATAAATAAAATATTGAAAAATTGTATTATATTATAATTTATTCTGCTATAATAATTGTATAATATTATTATTAAGTATTTAAAAAATAGTTCATAAATGTATTTCTTATTTCTTTTGCCTGTTGTAAAGTATTTGCGCCTCTTGCTCGTCGATCTGTGATTTCATCTTCCCAAACGGTTTGTGAACCCAACATAATATTACAGTAGTCCAAATCACTATCTCCATCTTTTTCCCTGATGACGTTGTGTAATATGCACATACATTTTATTATTACAATAGCTTTTTGAGAACTGACTTCTATATCCTTTCCAAGAAGTCTCCATTTTGCCCGTAGTATTCCAAAAGTACATTCTATGCATTTACGCGCTCTTGATAAATGATCATTGAAATTTTCTCTAGCCGGATTTAAACCTCGAGATGGAAAAGGTCGCATCAAGTATGTTTTCAATGGGTAAGCTTCGTCACCAATTAAAACGTGAGGAACTTTTATATTTGTACCAGGTAAATTTTTTTCTGGAGGTACGTTAAACCTATTGTTGTCTATCAAATTAAATAGTGTAGAAGATGCAAAAGTTCCACCATCACTCTGTTTTCCTTTAGCTCCTACTTCAATTGTTAAAAACTTTTTATCTGCATCAGCAACTCCTTGTAATACTAATGAAAAATATTTAAGGTAGTTGAAATGACTGGATCCAGAATTATTAGGACATTTAACTTGACAATGTTTTCCATCCAGAGACCCAATGCAATTTGGAAATCCCCAACGATTATAATAATCCATAGCTACGCTCGCTAATTTTTCTTGTGTGGGAACTGGCATAAAATCACTAACAAGTTCCTCCCAAATAGCTAAACAAGTTTCGTGGACAATTTTTGCTATTGTACGATCGCCCATTCGCATAGAAAAAGCCAAGTTTCGAAATGAAAGTCCAGTTGATAAGTATCTATTAACAAAAAAATAAAAAAAAGTTGGTAGGTCGGTGTCGTTCTGCTGTAAAGTTGGTTACATGTGAGTGACTGTAATGCTTGGTGTTAAATTCTAATTCAGTAATAGAATATCTTTGTTTACAAAAAACGATTCTGAGCGGAGACGGTCTGTGAGTCTATATGATATTTTATATTATATTTACATTGTTATTATTAAGACGATAGCTGATGAAGTTGAATTATAACTATTTTTTAACTATCATTTTTTAAAAATAAAACTTAAATCGTTCTTTTTTGTTTAATATCTGATTTCGTCAAAATTTGAACATAAAATAACTATAAGAAAAACTGTGTTTTTTATATTTTTTGGTTACAGAATAACCTACTTACGTGGAACCTTGTATTAGATTTTCCATCTTTACCTATGAAAGTTAATTATATACATTTTTAACTACAAAATCATTTTTAAATTTTAAATTTGATAAATTTGTCAAAATTCGAACCTAGAGAAAAAACTGTTCGTAAACGACTCAAGACTAATCAAAATATTTTGAAAATTTAATGAAGTATAGGAATTACTAAAATAAATATATGGTGTAAATTTTAAGTATCTCTATGTTACGGGCAATGTGGAATACCGGGCAATGTGTACATTGCCCGGTCAATGTGGTCCTGCCCGGGCAATGTGAACCACGATGTTTTGTTTTACCAACTAACATTATTTTTATTTTTTTATTTAATTTTATTATTACCCATTTATAATTATAATAATAATAATAATAATAATAAGTTATTTTTTATTTTTTTAAACAATCATTATTAATTTTATTAAATCTTATCATATAACGAGTTATTTAAAACAATAAAATTATAAACTATGAAATTTTGAAATTAATTATATTCATATACCATATTAATATTACGAATATTTTTAAATAAATAAATTATACATTTATTATTACCTATTTATTTGCACAAGATTTAGAAGCATTGCACTTGGAATTACATAAAAAATTTTAATATGATGTTATTGTTTCCCTAGTTATATTTTTAAATTTTTTATTTATTTCGTATGTCATGCGATTTCCACCACCGTGCACAATAGCTAAATGTATTTCATGTTTAATTTAAAAAAAATAAAAAATAACTTATTATTATTATTATTATTATTATTATTATTATAAATGGGTAATAATAAAATTAAATAAAAAAATAAAAATAATGTTAGTTGGTAAAACAAAACATCGTGGTTCACATCATATAGTAGGTTTTTTGTTTTTAATTGCCAAGATCGCAATATGAAAAATCGAGAGAATATCCAATGTTGTAAAATTGTATAAAACATTTAATTTGACTTTCCGTTATCAATAGATTCATCGCTTCGCTCAGAATATACAATTTTAAATGGCTAGGTTATTTAAATAATCACTAAATATATTATTAAATACTCATATTTTAGGTAACGATGCAAAAAGTAAGTGGAAAAATTTAAAAGATAAATTTAGGAGAGAACTTCAAAAAGAACCCAAAGGCCGTTCAGGTGATGCTGGTGGGGAATATAAATCAAAATGGCCATTTTTTAATATGATGATGTTTGTGAAGGACTCGTTAATTCCAAGTGTTATGTCTGGAAATTTAATAGTTGGAGAGCAGTTACAAAATACCCAAGTTACAGATAATGAGAGCGACATTGATGTTATGAGTAGTTCATTTGTTGAAGATTTATCCCCATCTACATCGACTACGTTTTCCCAGTCCACATTTCCCAAGTCTACAAAAGGAAATAAGAAAAAACGTTTTGTAGACGATAGTACTCAAAAACTATTGGATCTCGAAGAAAAAAAAATTGCTATCCTCCAAAACGCACAAGAAAGAGAAAAGAAAACATATGATGACCCAGATGCTCAATTTCTTCTAAGTTTTTTACCATACATACAACAATTAAGTTCACTGGAAAAACTTGAAGTAAGAAGTCAAATCCAAAGTGTTGTATTAAATGCGTATAGAAAAAAAAGTCAGGGATATACTCCATTAGTGCAACAATTACATGAAACTGATCTGCAGAATTCACGAAAAGAGTTTATTCAAACCCAGATTGGTCCCTCAAATGAATCTCAGGTAACACAAATTTATAGGCCCTACAATGAAGATTTGTCTATTACGTCTGCAGCTCCGTCCATTAGTGAACCTACCAACTTTTTTTCACTATACAGCTCAATACCTCAGTCCAATCACGGTTCTACAAAAACCATTCCCCAAAGTACATTCACAGGAACACCAGGAACACAGCGTAGTGACATTTCGTTGGGCACAAATACACAATACAGCCATGATCTTTTTAATCTAGACCCGTATTGACACTTAATTATGTTTTTATTTCAATTTCCATAATTTTTAAATGTAAAATTACTATTCATTAAAACAGTAAAAAAATTAAAAAATAGTTATGTTTAAATTAAGTAGGCAATCAATATTATTTTTAAATTATGTTTTTATTAAATTTGTAATTTATATAAAAAATATAAGTAGGTATGTAATTCATTTTTCCTCCTAATTTATTTTTCATAATAAACATAGGTATGTTTAAAATGTATATTTTCTTTTGCATGTAATAAAAGAAATTGTTATTGTAATATTATTGTAATTTTCTTTAATTTATTATCATAACGATTAACGAGTACTTACCTTATAGTAACGTAAAGTCTTTCTGCCGGCGATATTGGTTTTTTGAAATTCGTAGTTTTTTTCCTAATACGATGACAAATTTTAGTTAAAATAAAATCGTAAGTCTCAATTGACATACGAAGATATTCAAAAAATCTCGTTGGAGATTTTTTTAAGTCAAAAAATAAATGATGGAACTCTCCGTATATTTTCCTGCGACGATCAATGGGATGAACTCCAACCCTTTTCTTTTCCAACAATTTTTTACGTAAAATTGGATTGTCTAAAAGAACCAAAAGACGATCTACCGTAATGAACGACATGGTGCATACTGAAATGATGAGTATATAAAAATTTTCATGTTCTAGATATCAAATGAACAACACCGCTCGATAGTATTGTGCACTTTGCGCACCTTCGACGCTCGACGCTCGGCGCTCGGCGCTCGACGCTCGACGCTCGACGCTCAACGCTCTCCAATGTACGCGCGGCCTAAATGTTAAGCAACATGCACGTAGTGACGTACAAGTTAATAATAAATCATCCTGTAGCTGATATGATAAGTGCGAAATACTGTAACCATTGAGTATTGACCTGGGAAAGTTCCTGGGTATGTAATCTGCAATGCACTCTATTTATTTCGTTTCGAATTTCCTATTCCCAGAATAACTTTTTCCCCAGTTTGTGCGAGAAACAAAAAACATGTATTTTTTTTTAAAGACTTATAGTGAACTAAATTCTGCAGCTCTGCTGCATCGTATTTTGATCTAAACCACGATTTGAACCTTCCAGAAAACATATTTATAATTTTTTAATATTATTACTATATATGTATAGTATATACAGTTTTAGTGTTTTACAACTTGTTAATTTGTTAATATAACTACTGGGATTATTTTTTAATTAATTTAAATCTGACGCTTGCTGTATTGAATCATAAAACAAATGTTATCCGCAAAATAGATTATAGCTATTGCTAATCATTTGGTATATGACGTGTTGTTGGTATTTAAGGTATTTTATAATATTATATTGTATAGGTACTTTCACGGTACTATAATAATACTATTATACTAATACACGTGTTTATGTGTGACCTGTACAAACAAATCGTGTGGAATAGTGTAAATTGTGCTTTCAGATGTTTGTTTTCTGTTTACAAAAAAAAAAAAAAATCGTACGATTTAAAAAATGTATGTAGGTACCTAATACTAAAACTCTACATGCGCATAGTGGAAACTGGGATTGTTATACATTTATTTGTTTTTACCTAACTGGCAGTACTTGCAGTATGTTGCAGTACACTCGTATTACATTTAGATTTAGTGAGTATCAATCACAATATTACAATAATTATAGGAATATTATGTGGTAGCATTGATTGTGATACTATGATCCTCTAAAAATTCAACGGCCAAAATATATCTTGGTACCATAATATCAAATATCTCAGAGTATTGTTAGATAGAAAACATACGTAGAACCTCCACGTGTCTTCCAAATTGCAGCAATGTTATCAGCGATTGGGAATGCTATATCCTTTGATTAACCGTCAAACTTCATTGAGCTCGAAGTGCTCACTACTTTTATATAAACAAATCATTCGTCCCCTAGTTTTATATGCCACCCCGGTCTGGGGTCAATTATGCGCTACAACTCTTATAAACAAAATCCAAGTCCTACAAACGAAAGTCCTACGTATGATATCAAATGCTCTATGGTTTGTGCAAAACAAGGCACTGCACCAAGATTTTAAGTTACCAACGATAAAAAAATACATCTAGAAACTTTCGGTTGGATTCTTCAGCCAGCTACAAAAAGCAAGTGGTCCACTTCTTTATGGGCTGAATATCTGCCCAAACAACCGTAGACTCCAACGTGGTCGTCCTCACGACTTTCTAATTCAGAGATAGCTACGTTATTGTAATTATTGTATACTTATTTACACATGTCTTTTTATCTCGTCTCTCTTTGTAATCGTTCGTGTTGTAAAATTGTTACACTTTAATACTTAGTTCTTACTATTTATACCATATATTAAGATCCAGTTTTCAAATGTTAAACAATTTAATTTTATACATAAGTTTAGATGATGACTATCAGGAAAATTAAAAAAAAAAAAAAGTACTGATTATAAATAGTATTTATAATCAATGTTAGTAGATGAGTGGTATAAAATGTCTATAAAATAATTGCATAGTGAAAAGTAGTTTCCTATATCAAAAACCCATATCGATTTTTATTCATGCATCGAGTTCTCTAATTAGAACTTTGAAATCCTATTATTTTAGGCGATTACATATTATATTATGTGTATGATTTCAACTAGGGTAGAAACATCGACAAATTCTGATCTGTGCAACTCAATATTGTATTATTGTGTTATGCATTAGTGCATTTAAAATGTGAATTAATACCTACATCGGCGTGGTTAGAAAATATTAACTGACGTGTAAAAGATTATTATGAAATATTTATGTAATAACTAATAAACAATAATAAATAACTGTAATAAACCACACGTGTTCGAAGTGCTGTATGGAGCTGTAACAGGTCTGGGTAATTATTAATTAGGTGGGTATAGGTACTCGTGGGTATACTCGTATACAAAATATTAAAATTAATAATGGGGCTAAATTTCAATTATTACAATAAAACAGGCCATTTAGATCGAAATGGGTTTCTAGTCATTTACAAATAGTAGGTAATTCCTAGTTACAGTTATTAATTTTTGATAGCTTTTCGACAATTTCCAGAATCTGAAATTCCAAAAATGACCAGGTTAATAAGCTTAATCAATATTGTGTAAAATGATTAATACAATTCCAGCATGTATACCCACACATTTTGGATTAACCCGTATAATATAATATTTAGTCATGTTGTAGCAACTTATTAATTACGGAGCATTCCGATTTCCGTTCATTAAAGACAATATTCTTATATGTAGCTGATTCAATAAATGATTATTAATAAATTGTAATCAATGCACCTACTTGAACGCGCCACTAGGAATTTAAAATAAAATATTTACGGAATACAAAGAACAAATCAAAGACAGTTAACAACTATATTATCATAATATTATTAATTTTTATGTACTATGTAGGTATATAAGATAATGATATAATATAACATATTATTTACAATATTAAAGAGAACACAAATCCAACTTCAAATTATTACGAAACTAATAGTTAATACCAATTTATAGCTATGGCCTTATTTACCTATAAGTAGTATCTATAAGCAATATTAAAAGTTGTGTACTTTAGATTGGAGTATTCCATATACGAAAACAACTTTAAAATTTAAAAAAAAAATTTATTTTTTTGTATTTTTTTGGGGGTGTATAACATTTTTAGGCTCAATATTTGTAATTTCTTCTTGAAAATTCCCCCCGGTGATTTTTGGTGGAGTAAGACTTAGTTCGCAAATGCATTTTTAAGGAGGACATTAAAAAAATATATATTTAAGTATGATATCATTATTTTCAATACTGATCGGAGCAATGGATGTACAGATTTTATTATATTGTTTTATAAGTTTACACTTGACAAATTAGACAAGATATAGAAAAAATGCTTTGATCTTCAAAAGCTCGAGGGTGATTTCTGATATGCTAAGGTTTCCCTGCAGTGTCAAACAGTGGAACAGTCGCGTCAGACGCCGACCTACGTCCAGACCGGTATAGTGACGCTGCAGGGAAATCCGTACCTATATAAAATTTTACATTTTTACCTAGTTAGCACTTTTTATGGCTGAAACCCGATTGACCTCAAACGCAATCAAACAATGGGAATCCAAAATACGACACGATTGCAGAGCACAGAAATACGTACAACGTTGCTGTTTTTATTATTTATAAAATAATTATGTGGAACATTTTTCTTTATTTACTAAATACAATATTATATTACTTAATATAATATTGTCTTTAAAAATTGTAAAAACACGTTTTGCGGTGGATTGGACAATTCAGGAAGTATTTTTCGTCGGCTGTTATGACACGTAGGTATAGCCTTACGAACCGTTTTTAAATATTTATGAACAATCCAAGATAGTTCTAAATTATTTAAAATTCGTTTTTGATCAATTTTGAAGGTTGAGTTGACATTGACTCTTCAGCACGCCTTTTACAATTTTCATGTAATACTTTCCTTTCTAATTTATTAGATGAATTTCCTACATGGTTACATTGTTCACTTGATTTAATAACAATATTTTTATCTGGACCAGAGTAAATCATTTTTCGTGCATCGTCATTTTAATAACTCGCCTTTTTTTGTGAACCCAATAAATCTATACTTAAAAGCACCAAAATTTTCCAATTATTTTCCTTTCTCTGATAAAAGAACTTTTGTTTCACTATTTTCCGTGGCGTTCGACGTTCATAAAAAAAAATTAACTATTAAATAAAACGGTGCAAAGCATAACGACGAAAAACGACTAACCACTAACACCTGATAATATCGAGTCTTACTTACTTTTGGCTAACAATCCAAAAATCTGATTCAAATACAGATATACTAGACATGACATGATTCAAAATATTCAGTCAATTGTTATATGTTATTTATATATATATATTTTTTTTATTTTAGTCTGTATTATGAAACATTTTTATTTTTAGGAAAAAAATTTGAAAATTTAATACAAGGTTCCTCACGTTGTTCTTGGCATAAAAAAAATTTCTAGTATACATGGTCACAATTTTTTTGAAGCGTTTTTAGTTAAAATGTTGATGGAATTCATCAAAATCATGAACATTTGTAAATTATTTTATAGTTTAAAATATAATATAACATCTTGAATCTAACCGCTTAAGAGTTAAGACTCACAACAATTTCTTATGAGCAATTCCAATTCAAATAAAGAAGCCAAATATTCAAGTATAATAATATAATGGCTTATCCTCAAATAATGTTTGATATTCAGTTATTATTCACAGAAGTGATTAACTAAATCACAATTGTTTTTATAGAAATTTCCAATTCAAATTTTGACGAAATTATACTATTAAATATAATTTCAATAAATATGTGGTAATTTAAAAATATTATTCGTGGGGATTTAAAACTTTTAAGTATATTTTTATATTTCATTCACACAATATTACATTTTCAAAATTATTAAATTGATTTGTATTGGCCATATTTTCACCACCCGCGGACCTATTATCATTTATCACGCTGTTATAAGACGTCAAAAGTCAAAAGTCAAATGTTAATAACAAATTATTAGTACGATATAAATATATATACTATAATAATAATTAAATATTAATAATAAAATAAATGCAATGTTCTCGGAAAAAATATCT